ATTAGGGACAATTCAGAAATCTTGGGGAATGTTAGGGAGAGAAATTTCAGGACATTTAGAAATAATTTAAAAAAATTGAATCACCTTTCTATCATAAAATTTTTGCTATCCGAAAATTTCAAGGCAAACTCCAAAATCCAAAAATTTACACTATATATTTCATCTCCTTTCTCACCCAAAACTCACCCAATTTTGACAATTCAAAAGGCTTGGTATGGATGTATGGATGATATCTGAAGGATACATCAGCTTTCTGTTTGCTTTATTGGGCTGTATTTTAAATTTACTCTTTTTGGGACACTTTTCAAAACTGATTTATACTGTTACAGGAATGGGTTCCAGGGAACCCAACCTGAACCGTTCAGCTCACTAATGGAGGTGGCTGCGTAGCCATTGGAGGGAGAGTGGAATGGGATGAGTATCTGGAAGTACAACCTGTGGGTTGGCCAACGGTAATTTGGCGCTCCTGGGAGTGTACTGGTAGCGAGTATGATGTGGGCTCCTTGAGGGAGCCACCTGGCTGTCTGCTAACGGGGACTTGGCGCTCCTGGGAGCGTGCCGGTAGTGGGTGTGCTGGGAGCGGTCGGCTAGCGGTGACTTGGTGCTCATGGGAGTGTACCGGTAGTGGGAGTTGTTGGGGAAAGCGGGCTGGTGGACCAGTGCACAGTAGTGGGTGACTGTGGGAAGTGGGACCTGTGGGTGTGTGGCCAGGCATCCTGGAGCTGCCTGGACCATATCCCTCTCCTAAGGAGGTGGGATAGGTTACAGTTCCTGATAGGGAACTTCTGGTTGGATGGGAGCGACCACTCAACCACCTGGTGGACTGGTGGGAGTGGGCAGCAGGAGGTTGGGCATAGGAATGCCCTCCTCGTTGCGGTTTTGTCATAGAGAGGATGAATAGGGAGGTGGACATGGTTCCAGAGTTACAGGTTGAGTTTACAGTGGTGGCACAATGGTGAGGATGTTACAATTGTGGTACAAGGTTTGTGGGTTATGTATTCGATAATGAAAAACATCTCTCAGCATCTGCCTTACATGTCATATGACTTTCAACTATCTAATATAAAAGTTATAAAAGGTCAAAGGAAATCCTTTGAAACTCAACAAATCCCCCAGCCAGCACCAAAACCCAGTGGGAAAGCTTGGCATGGGGTTTGACAGTGAAGTAAGGTGGTGAATTCCCAACAATCTAATCATCTATGGACACGGACCATAAGATTCTAGGTCTATTCTATAACATATACCTGTCAGAGACCTGGTCGAGACGAAGGAGTGTCTCCATGGCGGAGGGCTTCGGCCTCAGCGACTTGTGCCAGGAGTGCTGTGCCAAGTAACACGTCCGTGCCCTAACTTACTAAACTGGCAACCAGAACTGAAGGGGGTAAACTCTAGTCGATTTTATTACTGAAGTGTAACCTATGTACAAGTTGAGTATATATAGTTACAGCGAGGGCGGGTCCGCAAATGGCGGAGCTGAGTGGAGCCGAGCTAACGGGGTTAGACATTAGCCGATTGAATATTACCGACGAGTCGGGTTACGGGTTAACGGAAAGGCAGGCGATAACCCAGAAACGGAAAGGAGGGATAGGCCTGAAGGTGGGCTTTGCAGGGCAAGCAAGTGTATTGTCCAGCGGAGGTGGGAGTGCGCTAGTGGACGTCGGAGCTGTCCGGAAGCCTTCAGGGCTCCGTACTTAGGGAGGCGTAGGTAATAAATTGAAAGGAGGGGGTGGTGACCATCGAGGGGTACTGAGGGGATTGCGGAATACGGGAGCTCCGAGGTTAGTGAAGAAGGAGCAGAAGTAGACTGGAGGGATCGGAGGGATTGGAAGTCGATGGCCGGGGATGGATATGACAATACCCACATAACATGCATGGTTACATTGCCACACTTAAGTGCTTTCCAATGCACATAGATAGAATCATCACAATTGGATGAGTTTTGAGCAAGAAATGAGATGAAAGATAAAGTGCAAAGTTTTGAATTTTGGAGTTTTCCTCAAATTTTACAAATAGCAATAAATGCTGTATCTCAGCATATTCCATGGATACATCAGTAAACACAAAAGGTCTATGAGGTCTATGAGCCTGCTGAGATCATAGAGCTCATAGAGCCTTTGGAGCCTTTGGAGTGATGAGGATGGCTATTTTCCACACATTTACAGAAACATATATCCATATTACCATTGCACTACTGGTGCCAAGATAACTCAGCAGATTCCATGGAGACATGGAGACCATTCATTAGTAAAAAAAACACAAAGCTCTATGAGCTCTATGAGCATAGAGCTTTTCGAGTGATGATGATGGGTATTTTACATGCATTTCCAAAAATGGATATCCATATTATCTTTGCACTTCGGCATCCTTATGAGAACAAAATTGTATATATATTTCATTTTCTTGACTCTATGTGTAGAGGGTGCACAGCAAAAGACTCAATTTGCTCACAGAGCTCTGAGAGCTCTGAGAGGTCCATACCAGGTTTGCTGATGAGTACATTTCCCCCTTATAGCAGCCAAGCGGGGAATAGGGAAACTTACCCTTCTTCTCAACTCAATCCCTGCTTAGGCAAGTTGTGGCTACCTTCCATAATACATGACAACTCAATCCCTGCTTAGTGAGTTTGAGGAGCTTGGGGTAGGATCCAGCACCTGGCTGCCTGGGACACTCCAAGTGTCCAGCTCTGAGGTAGGGCCGCCCCTGGACAGAGGCCAGGCCCTGACATTAACCTTGGACTTTGCAAAGAGAGCAGCCATAGCAAGTTCATCCTCTGAGTCCTCCTCTGGCTCATCAGCATCAGCCTCAGAGTCAGAGTTGACACCAGGAGTTGGTTCTCTGGCTTCCCACTTGCTCACAGGTGGGGAAGGAGTTGGAGTTGGTTGCACCTTCCACCACTCACCTGGTGGTTTTCCAGCATTGGAGCGAGTAGTTCTGCGCAAGTTTGAGGTCTCAGAAGAAGAAAGTGGTGCAGGGGGTGGAGAAGGAGAAGGTGGTGGAGATGGAGATGGAGAAGGGGCAGGGTTGGCAAGAGGTACAGGAAGGCCAGTGTCAGAGGATAGAGTGAAGGTGTTACAGGAATGGGTTCTGGGGAACCCAACCTGAGCCGTTCGGCTCACTAATGGAGGTGGCTGCGTAGCCATCAGAGGGAGAGCAGAATAGGATGGGTGTATGGAAGTACAACCTGTGTGTTGGCCAATGGTAACTTGGCGCTCCTGGGAGTGTACCGGTAGCGAGTATGATGTGGGCTCCTTGAGGGAGCCACCTGGCTGTCTGCTAACGGGGACTTGGCACTCCTGGGAGCATGCCGGTAGCGGGTGTGCTGGGAGTGTTTGGCTAGCGGTAACTTGGCGCTCAATGGAGCGTACCGGTAGTGAGGGATACTGGGACTCCCAAAGGGAGTCACCCAGTTGGTGGCTATCAGTGACTTGGCACTCATGGGAGCATACCGGTAGCGAGAGTTGTTGGGGAAAGCGGGCTGGTGGACCAGTGCACGGTAGTGGGTGACCGTGGGAAGTGGGACCCGCGGGTGCATGGCCAGGCATCCTGGAGCTGCCTGGACCGTATCCTTCTCCTGAGGAGGTGGGATCGGCTACAGTTCCTGATAGGGAACTTCTGGTAGGATGGGAGTAACCACTCGACCACCCGGTGGACTGGTGGGAGCGGGCAGCAGGAGGTTGGGCATGGGAATGCCCTCCTCGTTGCAGTTTTGTCATGGAAAGGATGAATAGGGAGGTGGACATGGTTCCAGGGTTACAGGTTGAGTTTACAGTGGTGACACAATGGTGAGGATGTTACAATCGCGGTACAAGGTTTGTGGGTTATGTATTTTATAATGAGAAAACATCTCGGCATTTGCCATACATGTCATATGACTTGTATCTATCTAATACAAAGGTTGTAATGGCCAAGGGAAGTCCCTTGGAAATCAACAAATCCCCCAGCCAGCACCAAAACCCAGTGGGAAAGCTTGGCATGGGGTTTGACAATGAAATAAAGGTGGAGGGACCAAAGGTTTGAATGTTCAGTCATGGACCATAAGATTCTAGGTCCATTCCTATAACAGAAGGTGTCACTGTCAGCCAGAGGAGTAAAGCAATTGTGAGCCTTGTTATCTCCCCCTGACTCTGGCACTGGAGTCAAGTGGACAGGAATGTAGGAAGTGGTAGAGGACTTGTTTCCAGGCATGGATTGTTCATCAAAGATCACATCTCTTGAGACAAATGTCTTTTTAGTAGATGGATCATAAACCTTCCAATGAAGTCTGGTGGGTATCCAATGAAGGTTCCATGAAGAGTTTTGGATTGGAAGCTCTTCCTCTTATCTTTCTGCACATGGATATAGGCCTGGCATCCAAAAACACGAAAATGAGAAACAGAGGGCTTTCTGTTGAACCAGCCTTCATATGGTGTGATTTTGTCAAGTGAGGAGGTGGGAGAGCGATTTAAGATGTGAACCAGGGCACCCAAAGCATCTCCCCAGAAAGAACCAGGGAGTGATGACTCATTGAGCATAGAAGTGATCCCCCTTCATCAAGAATCTGATTAGTATGTTCTGCCACTCCATTCTGCTGTGGTGTAGCAGTAGTGGTGTGTTCCCTCTGTTGTAGTTTGAGTTGTCTCTTTTCATTTCAATCTTCACTCTATAGATAGTCATGTGACTTTGGAGTCGACTTTATCCTTTCTACTTATTGTATCAAGGCTAAAGTCTACTCCAGACTGCCCCAGGGCTGCTCACCTGAGTTACTACACCCTCATGATGCCATGTTCCTTGAGAAAATCATCCATCTCCTTTCCCATATACTCCCCTCCTTTGTCATCCCTAAGTGCCTTGATGGTGAATCCAGTTTGCTTCTCAGCAAAGGCCTTATAGTTCTTGAAGGCAGCAAACACCTCTGACTTCTTGTGGAGCAAGTAGATGGCATGATAGTGAGTGCAATCATCCACAAAGCTCACCCAGTACCTATGACCTCCTGGTGTTTGGACTGACACTGGCCCATGCACATCTGAGTGTACAAGTTCCAAAGGCTGTTTATGACGATTTGAGGCAGTCTGGGGAAAAGGGAAGCAATGTTGCTTGCCTGCTAGGCAGTGTTCACAAATGTCAGGAAGAGGGGAGGTGGGGAATGTTCCAATGTTCAGGTCCTTTACATATTTCCCAGATATGAGTTGTTATTGTAATCTGAAAAAGGTGGCCACACCAGGATTCGAACCAGGGACCATTCAACGTATATTTGGAGGTGATAACCACTACACAATGTGGCCATGACTGGTTCTCTAGGAGCCTGTAGGTCTTATCAACTACTAGGTCTATTGACTACAACACTCCCCCTAGACCAGGCAACTGAGGACAGGGTAGACAAGTACCCAATTTACAGAGGGGTCATTTGCGGTCCTGGGAGACGCAAGCCTTTAATCAGAGTACTGGGCTCATAACCTATTGTATCTCAGCAGATACCTCAGTCTGAGTTGACTTTAATGTTATTACACAAGTAAGAACAGTAAAGAGCAACTCTGGAGTCACATGACACTATATGGAGCGTAGATTGAATAGAAAACAAGAGAAACAACTACAACAGTTGTTTGAGCCGAGTTCGACCAATATGGCAAAAACAACGATCCCAGAGATCAGGAGAGAAGGAGGAAGTGGTCCTGAGAGCTGCTTGAACCACAGTAGCACCATCCAGCAATGCAGTGTTATCATCTGAAACTGATGCTTGGAAGTGTACCTGAGAGTTCAGCATAAAGTTCATGGTCGATTTCCTAATGTTAACTTCCCAGTTTTTCTTCTTGGTCAAGGTGAGAACTGAGAGAAGGTTGTTGGCCAGTAAAGGGACATGGAGGACACCTGAGAACTCGAGTTGGCGTAGAGGAACTCCATCAATTATGGGAGTAAAGACAATGGACCCAATACCAGCTGCATATATCACATTGTTGTCTGCAAGACGAACAGGGACTTTGCATGGCTTATAAGTCTTAAACCACTCTCGATGTGGAGTCATATGAGAAGTGGCACCTGTGTCTGCAATCCAGGAATCTGGTAAGTGAGCAGGGGTGGAGAGGGCACATGCATGCCCAGCAAACTCCTGACATTTGTCACTTGGGAGCCTGTGATGCCTTTTTCCAAACACATCTCTTAGCCACATTATTAACCAGCTATTTTCCACCTTAAGTGAACCCCTGGAATCACAAAAGTTGCCATTAAGGCAAAGGTCAGACTTGAAGGTCATGACCTGCTTCACAAGCTGGCAAATAATCTCAAGTGCACCCTGGTAACACAAGAGAGGCAGGGTGTGAAGGGAATGATCCAATAGAGGTTGAAAATGGTGGAGGCAGACCAGCCAGTGAAGCACTCGACACCAAATTGAGGCGTGAGCGAGAGTACTATGCGAAGTATACTCTGCCCGACAGCCAAGGTGGATGATGCAGTATAGGTCCCAACAGAGCTGATACAAATGAATTGGGATGTGGGGGCCAGGAAAATACAGTATTCAGCACAAAACTTTGACAGCTGCAAGGATGTTATACGAAGTATAGTATGTCCGAGTTTGGGAGCAATTGACATGGTGTAGATCTCCAGAGAGTGTAAATGAGAGTCCAGGGATGTCAGGGATGTCAGGGATGTGGGGGTGAGCAAACAAACGAAGTGCTTGGTGCCAAATCGAAACAGCAGTGAGAGTCCCCGGCGAACGATACTGAGTGCAAAAATGGAGTTGATCCAAGCACTAGGGATGCCAGGAGAGTGAAAATGAATGCCACAGTCCAAAGTAGAGATGCCCAGACAGCCAGAAAAGTTGTGGCCCAAAAAATGTTGAGTAGCGCCAGAGGGAGCGCAGCGATCAGCGTGAGGGTGAAGGAACTGGTTAGGTGATGTGGCAGAGTTGAAATGATAAGAAGTTGGTGTAGCAGCGTCCAAAATGCATCAATCATTACAAAACTGTGGCAGAATGTAGTACGTTATGCCTAGTATCCTGTGGGTGTGCGATGAAGCAATGTGTGCAGCGACTGAGGCGATAGAGCAAGTTTGAGGACACAGGGACTCAAAGTGTGTGTCAAAAATGCGAAAAATCGGTGTTTTTTGAAAAACTCTTCAGAGAAGAGGGCTCATAACCTATTGTATCTCAGCAGGATACCTCAGTCTGAGTTGCACTTTAGTGTTATTACAATAGTAAGAACAGTAAAGAGCGACTTGGCAGTCACATGACACTATATGGAGCACAGATTGAATAGAAAATGAAGAGAACTAACTACAACATCTTCGCCTGGCACATTCCTGAGACAACAAGCTCTCAGGCAAGTCATCAATGCTCTTGGAGAATTCGAAGGTGGAATTTTTGAGGACTCGAATAATTACATGAAACAAATACGAAATTGGCATCATCTCACCCCAGCTGATCTCGAGAAAGAGCCGTTGAAGCCAGTCTCAAAGGAGAGCCTTTGAGATATCAACTTGGGACTGTCTGGTGGGTCAAGTTAACCAACCTACTCATGAAAATCACCGAGTTCACCCAGCTTGCCACCAAGGCCAACTTAGCCACAGGTGATTTCATAGTGGATCCCTGAGGTGACCTTGCCCTTATATTCACCATAAGAGGATGGTCATCACCCAAGGAGTTCAGCATTGCTTGGAACTTCCTGGACCAGCATTTTAACTCCTTCAAGAAACATTTCAACACCATCAAGAAAGTTGCTCATCCTTCACAGGAGTTTGACGAGTTGTGCATGAGTGGTCTTAGGTTGGCAAATGCCATGCCCGCCAACTTTATGGATCCTGGGCAAGTTGAGGAGGCATGGTTGACCGAAATGCAACCCACTTGTCAACCTGAAGTTCCCCTGTCAGGATGGACCACATATGAGGATCTTATATCTCCTTCTGAAGAGACCACTTTTGTTTGTAAACGCACTCAACCGTCTAGGGCCTTCCCAGCACCTAGACCCAGTATCAATGTCGCTGCAGGGACGCTACCCAGAGATGAACCGTCTATGCCGTTCATGACACTTCATTGAGAGACCAATGCTTTCGAGAACCCCAAGGAGAACATGGGTTACACGGAATTTGTGAGAGGCCTGAAGGTCAGAAGGAAGACAGAGTTGGGACCTGTCAAGGAGAGACTTGATCCTGACAATTGTGGAACCATTCCCCCTTGTGTCCCTCACTATCCAGTGAATGAAGGTTGTTATGGAAATGGAGAATCTTATGGTCCATGACAGGCAACCAGACCCTGAGGCCCCTTGCTATGGAAATGGGCCTAGACTCCTATAGACCAGGCACACAGGTAAGATATTTCTTACTTTGTCTCACTTCATTCTCTGCCAAACCCCATGCCAAGCTTTCCCACTGGGGTTTGGTGCTGGCTGGGGGATTTGTTGATTTCCAAGGGACTTCCTTTGGCCATATAACATTTGTATTAGATAGATACAAGTCATATGACATGTATGGTAATTGCCGAGATGTTTTCTCATTATCAAATACATAACCCACAAACCTTGTACCACGATTGTAACATCCTCACCATTGTGTCACCACTGTAAACTCAACCTGTAACCCTGGAACCATGTCCACCTCCCTATTCATCCTCTCCATGACAAAACCACAACGAGGAGGGCATTCCCATGCCCAACCTCCTGCTGCCCGCTCCCACCAGTCCACTGGGTGGTCGAGTGGTTACTCCCATCCTACCAGAAGTTCCCTATCAGGAACTGTAGCCGATCCCACCTCCTCAGGAGAAGGATACGGTCCAGGCAGCTCCAGGATGCCCGGCCACGCACCTGTGGGTCCCACTTCCCACGGTCACCCACTACTGTGCACTGGTCCACCAGCCCACTTTCCCCAACAACTCCCGCTACTGGTATGCTCCCATGAGCGCCAAGTCACCGATAGCCACCAACTGGGTGACTCCCTTTGGGAGTCCCAGTATCCCTCACTACCGGTACGCTCCATTGAGTGCCAAGTTACCGCTAGCCAAACACTCCCAGCACACCCGCTACCGGCACGCTCCCAGGAGCGCCAAGTCCCCGTTAGCAGACAGCCAGGTGGCTCCCTCAAGGAGCCCACATCATACTCGCTACTGGTACGCTCCCAGGAGCGCCAAGTTACCGTTGGCCGACACACAGGTTGTACTTCCATACATTCATCCTATTCTGCTCTCCCTCCGATGGCTACGCAGCCACCTCCATTAGTGAGCCGAACGGCTCAGGTTGGGTTCCCCAGAACCCATTCCTGTAACAAAGGTCCCCTTGGACCCGGAGATCCAGATCACGGACCAAGACAACCGCCTCTTGACCCCTGGCAGCCACCTTTGCGAGGTGCAGGTCCACCACCTCCATCAGGACCACCTGGACCACCCCCTCCACCTGGTGGGGCTCCATACCCTGGGTATATTCCACCTGTTAGATACGCTGGGGCACCACCCCCTCCTCCACCTCCTGGACCTGGAGTGCTAGCAGCTCCCCTGCAGAATCCCGGATACAGGCCTCCCCCTCTCGACTGCACGCAACCTTACATGGATTGTAAATATACTATGTCAGACTTCCCTGAGTTCAATAGCTCAACTTGTAAGTCAGGTATGTATCAAACCTGTTCCCACACTCATTTGAAACTGATCAGACATGTGAACAGCTCAAGGACATGATCGACATATTCGAACATAAATTCTCTGATGCAATCAGAGTTTGGATCTTTGACTGCTCCTCTAATCATGAAGGCTTTGCATCAGACACCCTCAATGTCAATAATATGAATGTTAATCCCGGAGGAAAGCAGGCAAAGATGCGCCCAACCATCATTCCACTCAATAATCCTCCACCTCATCCTGGTACTCATGATCCTCATGGCAATGAACAACTCATGGTCTACCCTGATGACGAAAATACACCACCTGAGCTTCATGGTACACCTAAAGGGATGAAAGTGGTTCTTCAGGAGCGCAGAGTGGTTTGGGACATCCTTTGTGAGAAGTTGAATGGTAAGCCCATCGGTACATGTCAGCAGTGCAAGATGTCGCAGGCAGCAAAGGATGCCGAAGCACAAGTTGCTGCTGCTGAGGCCACAGGTGGAGATCTTGAAGAAAGTGAAGGGTCCACAAGCATCCTGGAGTCAGCGCTGTCTGAACCGTTGGCAACATCTGATTGGTGCTGCATGAGTCGTGTGCTTGCCTGCCAATCAGATTTCCGAAATGAGAAACCACTCATATGGCACTATGTTGAAGAGTGGGGCCACATTTGCATCTTCCTCCCTAAGTGTCATATCCCGGATTTTCCGCCTCCCTCCACCCTATTCCTATATGACTCCTATGACCTCCACCAGCCCTCCCAATCTCTCTCTGCTGCCTCTGGTCGATGCCAATGGCCCTAGGACTACCTCCTCTTTCGACTCTCCCACTGTCATATCCGTGCATACCCGATCCCGACCCGACTTCCGGACCTCCTTCCCCACCTCCGGAATCCTACCCTACTGCTGTCCATTCCGATATTCACCTTCGGTCCTGGCACCACACCACCCTTTCCCTCCTCACAACACCTCCACTCCTCTGTCACTCTCCTGTCCTATCTCTGTCCGTTCCGATAACCACCTCGGACCAAACACCACCCCTCTTGCCACCCTCCTCCTACTCCTCATACTCCTCGCTCCCTCCTCACAACACCTCCACTCTTCCGTCATCCTCCTACTCTTCTCCCATCCACTCCGATACCCACCTTCGGACCTGACACCTCTCCTCTCTTCCTTCCCCTCTCTTCCCTCTGGTTCTCTTCTGCCAACCTCCCGCCAAGTTACGACCTCCCACCACTGACCCGTACTTTGTACTCGGGCACCACTTGTACCTTTGCTCCGAGCCTCCATCATAGTTCCTACCTCGGACTTTGACTCCACCTCGGTCTTAGTCCATTGCATTGGTGATCTCATACTACGTAAACACCATTGCCAATATTCCTCGGACTTTCAACCCCGCCTCCGTAAGCTCCACAACCTCCAAGCTTCGCAGATCATCTTTGGCACTTTCGC